ATAATTTTGGAAGAAGAATATTTGTTATTTATGATAGTATGACGGATCGTTGTGGAGCGCGGCATTTCATGTGCAACACGACATCGGTTTACAGTTTTCCTTTTTCAGCATTATTATATTAGAGGATACTTAATTATAGATACCTTGTATGAGGAGTTTGGACACTTAAGATATTAATGAAGTCTATTTATATGTGTTTTCATGCTGCAGTAGATTGTTCATGCATTTGATTCCTTTATAGTTCTTATTCATGCTTCATAAACCGGTTTAATCATTTTTAACATGCCATGTTATTATTCATTATCCTTGATGTGATGAGAACCTTAGTAGTTCATGACTTAGTGGCCTCGTACGTCATGAACAGACTTAGTGACATGTGTGAGTGTGTTGACTGGTTTAGGTGGTGAACCCGATTTTCAAAGAGGATTATTGTTGACTTAGAAAATGAGAAAAGTTGGGATGGGAAAGTCATGGTTCATGTGATCGGATAAGGCTGTTGATGTATCTTTCAGGCTCGCACCAGTGGTCGGAGTTACCACTGGGGTTGGTTTGTAGGGTCAAAGTGAAGTGGTGTATTCACTTTGGTCAGTGGGGATCTAAATTTAAAGAATTTATTTCCGTCACCCGGGTTCTGTTTAAAGTTCGGACCAGGCAGAAAACGGATTGCGTGTAGTCCTCTAGGTCGCATGTGTAGTGGGATTGGATGCACGTAGGGGGTTTGTGAACAGTCAGTTATCCGATGACAGGAGCGTTGGCTCTGTGTGAGATGTGGACCACTAAGCTTTAGGTTGGTTAGTATTCGACCCAGTCATTGTATTCACATAGCTGTATGTTACTATTAGATTACCGGTTGCATGTATCATTGACTTTCTTGTTAGTATTACTATTGTTAGTATTGGTCGTTAGACCGTTTTATTTGTTCATGTGAGATCTTTCCATGTGCCATGCACCCTGACGTACACCTGTTTTCTCTGGTGTGCGTCAGACTTACGAGACAAACAGGTTCAGTTCGATGATGCAGCCGAGCCAGTGTATGCCCAGCCGGAATGTCCTTCCGATGGAGTGGAAGATCAAACTGAAGACTAGACGTGTTTTTCCTTTCTGCCGTAGCTGATAAACATTAGAACTCTTTATAGTATTGTCCTTAGTTTGATGATGGATTTAGTTATTTTACCAGTATTTTTATTTTATCATAGACTATGTGTTTTTATTCCTAGTTGGACCATTTTTGTAATAAGGGCGTGTTTGACCCATATTTTATGTCTGGGATGATTTACTATGGATGATATGTTTATTTTTATTCTGGATTGTCTTTATACTCTTGCTATGTGTGATCGGGGACCTATGACTTCGTGATTTATGTTTTTGACACTTAGCGTATTAGATTGAGTAGAAAGAGTTTTATTATTTATTTCTACTCAACCTAATACATCGCAGGCTTGTTCACGTTCTGATTCCCGGGTATTTTGGGAAGCGGGGCGTGACAAATAACCATGACCAAAATAAACAATGTTCGATGGACTCATACAGAAACTGCTAATACTACATCATATGCAAATTTATTAGAAGAGAGGTACTATTGTCAGATATGCATATCAAATATAAATATCCCAACGGTTCACAGAATATTTTAGGCACAACTTTAAACCTTTTGAGCTAACTAAGGCTTTAAACCTTTTATCTAAATACCTGAGACATATTATGATTTGTAATACAGACGAACAAGGATATCCAATCAACAACCACAGTTTCTTCAAGCTTTACCAGAAACATTTGTTTATCATTCGCTACAAAAATGATTGTATAATCTACATTTAAATATGAAACCATTATTCTTAAAAAACATAATGCAAGACTAACACTGTGCACTATTGTTGAATAAAAAAGCACTGATTAAATATGTATTCTTACAGGAGAATTTAATGAAAGTTACCTCAACCATTACACGGTAACGGATTAACCCATATTTACTAAAGAATGGGTGCAAATCCTTGACTTTCTGCAAATATCGGCCATCTAAAGGTGATACAGCCATAATGCTAAAAGACTCAAGATCAATAACCTCCTCTTCACGATGGTGCTCCATCTAAAACATTAAAGTTCACACAGCCAAAACATATTCAACCAGTTGTCCAAATATGAGGAAAATTAAAGAAAAAGGATCACCAAAAAAATTAGATCATTTCATATCACTATAAATTGGGGACTGCTGAAGGATCATCTCAATTTATTTAAAAAAATTAAGAACCTGAAATTCAAAATACAACAGTGGAAGCCCTACATTACAAATCCCGAAGAAGAAAAAAAAAGTGAACTATAGAATATGATATTTATTATTTACTAAAAGTTTTATGCTCTATCGCAAAATATTCCCTCCCGTAAATTTATAAAAAATCCTATCCTTATTCAAAAATCCAAAAGATGCTACTTTTAAGAAACATTTCAAGATTATAGTATATGAGACTTAAGAAAACTTAGCAACGAAATAATCACAAAAAAGCAAAAAAACAAGCATGCAGTCAATAAAAGGCATGGCTTGTGTTCGTGAAAATTCCCCAACTAGGAAACCGGGAATGAAGATCTTTACCTTCGTAGTCGTAACTCCTTTTGAACTGCTCAACGAAACCTTAAGTGGTTCGAATCGCCGAGGAGGGGTAGGCTGAATCCAAAACCTTAGTTGGCCTGATTGTTTGCTGATCGAAGACGAAAGGGAGAGGAGGAAAAGGGCGGCAAGAAAGTAAACGGGGCTCGAGGGGGTGATAAGAGCTTTTCCATGGAGTTGTAGATGAGATCGAAACCCTAACCCCTAATCTTTAAGGGGGGAATTTGTTCGGGGTTTAGAGGAGTGGGAAAAAGGAGCTACCTTTTTTTTAAAGAATCGAAGAGAGCAAGGAGCGAGCGCCTTGATTCATTTTATACGCGTTTCCTGTGTAGGTTAGGTTCAGTTCATCAGATATTTTCTTTAAAAGGAAGATAAATGATGGATAATCTAATAATGCATATAGATTTTTGGCAAAACTTTGATATTTTCTTTAAAAGGAAGATAAATGATGGATAATCTAATAATGCATATAGATTTTTGGCAAAACTTTGTTGTAGGTCCCTCATGTGCTAATGGATAATCTAATAATGCATATAGATTTTTGGCAAAACTTTGTTGTAGGTCCCTCATGTGCTACCCAAGTATCTTTTCGGTCCTTTCAGATCATTTATATTTACAAGTCGTCAACCACAGTCATTAATATTATCATTGTCATCAATCTATGTTCTTTTTGCAATTTTCTATAAAATATTGTTGAGGAGATCACATGGCTGCCACGTCAGAAAAAATTTGTTGTAAGTTTCATACAAACGTGTATGTTGAACTTGTGATTTCACTAATTTTTTTGCTGAACATGGTAGGGTCAAATCATTGTCACGTTAGCAAAATCTGATGACAATGTAATGTTAAGAATCACCACTGTTAACATTCATCAAAAGTTAAAGACGCTAACAGTATTTGGGTGGTAGTGGTACATTCCGTTATAAGTGAAAGAAACTTTACTTGTAGAAATAATCAGGCTGTTTTTTGTATGTCCGCTTGCTTACTGCAATACAAATAGATCATTTTTCTTTTATTTTTTTCCTTTTTTTCTCTTTTTTTTTATTTCTCAAAACTCTTCATACTTATCATAATAATAGTTGCATGAGATCCCAAGCTATATGCACTATTTCTGAGAAAAGAATAGAATATTAAGCTGATGAAACTTAAGTTAATTTAAGTAGTAATGAGCAAAACTTGATATAACAGCTATCACGAAATTCAACAGAACAATAAACTTTTTACTGTCAACAGGTTTTGCCAAATATTTACTCTTCGAGTTCGAAGCAAACTACTCTTTTGTGGCACATTAGAGAAAGAATTAGAGTGATTTTTGTAAGTGATTTTTGTTTTTTCATATCTAGATGTTGATTTTGCATATTTTGATGTAATTAGAGAAGCAACTGTATTTTTCGGATCTGGATTCTCTTTACTTATGTAATAATTAAACACGATCTAATTCTCTCAATTCTTACCACGTATGTTAATTCTTATAGACGAGATCACGCCACATAAAATTTCCACCAGATATTTTGATAGTTGTTTTCAAGTGTACTAGTAGTTTCAAGACCAAACAGATGTTAAAGATTGAGAGAGTAGAACAGGACAACAACTAACTGCATCTAAATATGTAAAAAACAAGAAATCTATTTTGTCAACAAAAATAGAATACTAAGGCAAAATCGTCCCACCAATACCAGTATACCACACACAGGTTTGTTGATATTTACAGATTCAAATACCCAGATACTTTATTTCAAAAGAAAAGAACACAAGAATATTGTTCAAATCGCATAAACAAGAATTACTATTGCATCCTGCGGGAGGGGTAGCAACCAAAAATCAATACAAATAAAAGTGTCGAGGTAAACAAACTTCAAGTATTTCAAATGAAAACAAACTATCAAGGAGACAATTGACACAAGGGGGAAAAACCTTCATGGGGGCATAAATCCAATAATCAAATCCCCCGACTAACAATATAATAGCCGAAGCATTCTGATTCATGTATGTTGATCACAAATACAAGTACCAGGAGAATACAAAATACAATTGACACAAGGAGAATACAATGAACTTAGCAATATATGGAAGCATACCTGTGTTGCTTCTCCAAAATCCATTTCTAGTATTTGAAGCCTCCTGCTTGCAATTTTCTTCCTCCAGGCCATTAGTAAAAGAACCAAATGAAACTGATTGCACTGGTCTAAAGATCACCCAACAATGCTACAAGCTTATTCAATTTCGTTTTCCTTTTGTTAATTTACCCTTGCAAGCTTACACAATAATACAAACACAAACGGCTTGTGGTATCAACTGCCTTTGCTCATAACGAAAATGTAAAGGGGAAGTAACATGAACCACAAATAGTTCAATTAGTAAAATTTTCATCTCGTTCATTCAACGTTTGTTTCAACAGCTATAAAAGCCTGAACCCATTCACTAAATCCACATGATCGTCGATAGACTTAGACAACTTCTCTGCTTCTCCAATGTATGACTGGGGATTCAAATTCAAGAGAACGCACTTTGCTTCTTCTGGCAATTGCAAGACATTAGTGAACTTTTGAATGCTCTCCTTGCTGACAACTCTTCCTCTGGTGAGATCCTTCAGCTTCTCATATGCCTCTGGGACGTTGTATCTGTGCATAACCTAATGCAAGAAAACAATAGAGAGTCCATCAGCAACAAGGGTCTCTTTTATTCTTTAATATTATTGGTTATTTTGATGTTGATTGAGAAAATGATACTCTTGATAGTGTATTGTTGGCAGATATTGTACTTTTATTGGAGGAATATGGTGATCTCACAATGAAGCAGACTATCGTGCCATGATTTATTGCTAAGGTTGATTATCAAGTTATAACTCTCGCTGTTTGAGGGACTATGTTGATTAAATACCTTCATCAGGGGATAGGTGTGTTTCTACCTCAGGCTATGGAAATACATCATAATAATCAGGTTTTGGCGTATATTGCCAATAGTACAGACTAAGTATCATGAGAACAGGAAGCATATAAAGGTTGATTGTCACTTCATTGTGAAATGATATTGAGCAAAATGTCACTTCACATGTTAATTTAGACAGATAGGTAGCGGTTTCCCTAAAACATTACCTTTTTTTTGGTGGGGGCGAGGAGGAAGGGGAAGGGAATTTTTTGCTTAGATTTAATTAGCTAAAAATGGAATTAGGATCCTCTCCTAATACCTAATATTTCCTATTGAGTTTTGTGAAGAATTAGGAGTGGGACCCATAAGGATGGGTGGGAAAATGAAAGGCCATGATGAAAATGAAAGGCTAGGATCTCCTTATTAGGAGATATTAGGAGATTTTCATTAGGAGAGGATCCCAGTCCCATTAAGACTTAATGTAATTATATTCTATTTGTTTTCGAGTGAAAATACCCCTCTCTTGGGCTGTAATCTTTCCCAACATATAGTCAAAATGCTGGGGGAGGTGGAATTAGATGTCTTATATAAAACCTTAAAAAACAATACAACATACAAGTAGACCTTTGATATTACATCATATAACCAACAAAAGCAGAAAAATGAAAAATTATACGAAAGCAGTCATAATAAAGTCTATGTTGAATATATTTTTTTCAACAATCACATGGGCTGCTGCAGCAGCCCATGTTTTTAATTTTTTGTCAAAAGTTATGGGCCCCATTGAAGAAAATTTAAGATGTGGCTCCCACGAGCATAGTAAAATATTATTATTTTATTAGTGCATAATGTTTTCCTAAACGTTATAAATAGACCCTAAATCCTTAAGGCAAATTCATTCTAAAAATAACAATCAATATATACAGATATATATATTGTAGAATAGCTAGTGCTCGTAGGAACAGTGCCTAGACCGAAAAGGTCTTATAGATCTAGGAGATCTTTGCCTTATAGATCGAGGAGATCTTTGTCTTATAGATCGAGGAGATCTTTGCCTGATAGATCGAGGAGATCTTTGCCATAGATCGAGGAGATCTTTGTCTTATAGATCGAGGAGATCTTTGCCTGATAGATCGAGGAGATCTTTGCCTGATACATCGAGGAGATCTTTGTTATAGATCGAGGAGATCTTTGCCTGATAGATCGAGGAGATCTTTGCCTGATACATCGAGGAGATCTTTGTTTTATAGATCGAGGAGATCTTTGCTTGATAAATCGAGGAGATCTTGACAGTACTGGGTCGTTGCACACAAAAGTACTGGACTGCTGTTCCTGTAAACAATTTGGCCTTGGGATCCTTACACCGGAGTGGGCCAAATAATACTTTAAGCATAGCATTTTACAAACGCACAGCAGTTGAGTTGGAAAATTTTAAATTACTGCACTTTAGTTTTCTATTCAGTTTTTGTTGTTATATATCTGTATTATTCCAGACTTAACCATAGACGCTAACAGTCTAAAGGGAAGTGCAGTGCACTATCAGGACTTACTGTTTGTATTGGTTCTACAAGCACCTCCCACACCTGGTCCAGGTCTTCATTGAGACGAGACACATTTACCTACACATGATGGAGAAGAAATAAAGAATCAAGAAACGAAGAAAGTTACAAAGTAGTGTAATTTCATTAGTCATGTCATTATTAAATATGTAATTTGGAATGAAACAAATTGATGGCACTGTATCAAAAATGTACAATCAAAGTATTATTACTTTAAAACAATGAGCTTTAAACTTCAAGCTAATTTGGGCAAGTTTCAGAGTAAACTTGATTAAATGTAGTGGTGGCAAATTATGACCCGACCCATCAACCCGATCCGACCCGACCCGTTTATATTGGGAATGGGTCGAGTTATATGGGTCGGGTCACCCATCAACCCGATCCGACCCGACCCGTTTATATTGGGAATGGGTCGAGTTATATGGGTCGGGTCATAAACGGGTCAACCCGAACTGACCCGTTTATTAGATGGATAAATTAGGATTGACCCGAACTGACCCGTGTAACCCAATCCGACCCGTTTAATTCTAAATGGGTTGCAAACTCCAAATCTGAAGATCATCTTCATCGTCTTCATCCTCCTCCTTCTCCTCTCTCTCCTCTTCCTTCGACCCCTAGTTTCCCGCCAGGTCTAGCATCTCCGGCACAATCGGCCGCGTCTCGGTCCTCATCGGCAGCGAGCCAACATTTCAACGGTCAAGATCGGTCGCGGTTTCGCTCGTACGAATGAGATCGGAGGAGGATAAGGGGAGGTCGGAGAAGGGGAGGAAATGGGTACCCGACGTGCTCTGTGACCTGGCGAGCTACGGGAAGCTGGAGAACCTATCGCTGTCGGGGAACTACTTCCCTCGACGGGGGAGAGCTGCTGTGATCTGGTCGAGAGTGGAGCTCTGGATCTAAGGAGGAACTATGTTGCGAGGTTGAAGGGTCAGAGGTTAGCCTGGGAGTGCGCTGGTTTTTTTCTAAAGCCCAGGTTCTGTCTAGTTTTGACTTTTATGTCGTACGAGGATCAGAGGGATTAGGGGGTTCATCGGAGTAAGGCAACGGCCAAAAAGTCGGGGACCGTGGTTTATGATGCTGTGAATTAGTGGCAACCTAATCCTTAATTAGGATTGTTTATTAAAAGGGTCAATCTCTTGTACAATCTATGTAGCAGTATTGCATATTTTAACTCGTGATTGTCGAAATAGTCAAAAGAATTTCATCTTGATCTATATAGTATCCACGATATTGAACTAAGATTTGATAAACGGGTCATTCGGGTTATATGGGTCGGGTCGAGTAACCCGTTTAATAAAAGGGTCGGATCGCATTGACTCATTTGTTAAACGGGTCGGGTCGGGTCACACTTATACGGGTTGGATCAACTATTACCCTACCCGACCCAACCCGACCCATTTGCCACCCCTAATTAAATGTTAACATTGGAATTGTCTTTATATATTGGCAGCATATTGAACAAAAAAGGAGCTTTTGCCATTTTTAGATGTATCTTTCTTCGCATTAACTACTCGGACGTACAGACAGAATTTTTTCAAAAGAATCATGCCAGATATCATAGTTATGGATCCCAAATAATAGATCTAAAGGAAATTGAAAAGGATAGCAAAGACGTAGTTCATACAATATTTTTGAGGGAAATGGTTAGTACAATTTTAGAAAAGAAATACTTATATAGAAAAAAACTTAAACATTCGTAAAATCATATATATTATTAGATGGATGTACATTGGATAGAAATTATGTTGACAGCAAGACAAGAATTCATCTTGAAATGGATCCACATTTCTATGATCTTGTAATCCACAGAATTTAGCATCCTGCATTAGTGACGAATTCAAATTCAACATATGCCCAACCCAAATAATTAAAGCAAGAACAGAACAAACAACATACATGAAGCAAAGAACGACGACAGTGGCACATTTCCTACCAATAACACATCTAGCTTTATATCTAATTCTCTAGTGATAACCATCTCATACAGATTTTACTACTAACCTGAAGCTTCCGGATTCCTTGTAGTGTACTTTTGTATGCCAAGAGAGAATACCCAGATCCAATACCCAAATTCCTCAAAACAGTGGAATCGGTCAAATCCCTCTGTCAATGATTACACATGCAATAAGTATAGTATCACTTTACCAGAATGAGACACTAAGACGTGTTTTTTGAACTATGATATAGCACTGAACTTCACACATGCATACGAGAGATGGGCAATTTTGAGCTGAGAGCTAGCAGATAAAATAGCATTAGCCAAACACAAGTTGCCTTGGTCATCTAGAAAGCAAAATTATCATGAAATCATTTAGTTCCAAATTGAAAGTTTGGGAGCTAAAATAGGTCCTAATATTTTAGGGGTATAGTGGTCAAGCATAAGAAAGTTACCTGCTTAAAATAACCTAACGAAATATAGCTCCATATGTCCCAATCAAAATCAGTCAGGATGTTATTAAACTGAAGAACTGCATTGAAAAGCTTTGTGATATAGTCATGTGGCTCAATCTGTATACGGAGCAAGCAACAGGCTCAGATAGAGAGTATACATGCAAGCCAAGTGCCATTCCATTCATAGGTCACATTGACATAACCTTTCAGACAACACAAACTTAACAAAATTATTATCTGGCGCTGTAATTCCATTATAATTTATGCACTAACTGGTTGGTGTAGAATAGGCTAATTGATAAATGTACTGTAATTCCAAGATAGATTGATAACCTGCAAGTGTATCTACATATTATCAGGCATGCACATGATAGTATCTACTTACTATATGAATAACCTTTTGTAAACTCTTGAAACGTGAAATGGCAAAAAAAGCCTACATTTCAGTCACCTGAGTCGATTGCAAAACTCATATTAAAGAAAATCCTGAGGCTCTATTAGTTATACACTTTTATAGTTTGTATAGTTGCCTAAATCTTCACGGGGACTGTTTAGTAGTAAATTAGTTCAAGCAGAGAACAATGAATACAAGCAGTAGTGTCAAAAATGTACAGGTAAATAAAGTACTCCTCCCATTAATGAAACCTGTCCAAGTCATCTGCAAAGAGAAAACCATATCAAAATGGAGTCGCTTTTTTTTAAGAAATCGGAGAGAGCGAGGAGCGAGCGCCTTGATTCATTTTATACACGTTTCCTGTGGAGGTTAGGTTCAGTTCATCAGATATTTTCTTTAAAAGGAAGGTAAATGATGGATAATCTAATAATGCATATAGATTTTTGACAAAACTTTGTTGTAGGTCCCTCATGTGCTAGCTGAAGGAAATTCGTGCTAAATACATGCAAAATACGCAGTGGAATACTATATGTATAATTATGCTAAGCATGTAGAGAGCATGAAATACATAATAGGACCATCCTAATTAAATCTAACATAATCCCTATATTAAAGAGAGCATACAAGAGTTAGAAAGTCATACTTTCGAAGCATGATTCGATGGAAGATCAAACAACCCCTAGAACTTGCTCCTTGTAGTAGAAAATCTCCTCGTAGTGGATCTCCAAGTCTTCAAGTGAGCTTGATAAAATCGGAGTCTTCTTAAGACACAAGGCAAGATATCTACCCCGGTGTACTTTAAAATCCTACTACTTCCTCTTACTTAAAGATTGCTAGAGTTTAGTAAGAGGTAGATCGCTCTTCTTTTCTTTTATGGAAAGCAATTATGAATAAACCATTTATTTCATTTTTCCATTAACCATGAAAGAAGACAGAAAGCTCATATTTATAGAGGAAGAATATGTCATGACATGAATGACTCATCCTATGAGTCACACCATGAGTCACCAAAATAATGATTCTCTTATGAGTCATGCAATGACTCATCTCATGAGTCATGCAATGAATCATGAAGAATCAAAACTATATGCTAAAACCATGTTCCCAAACCATACTACCTTAATAACTCATCTCATGACTCATTAATCAAGGTATAATGAAGTGCGTATTTCATTAATGAAAGTACCACATCAATACGGTATTTTATAATTTTCCAATCATTAATTAATAAGTCATCATATAACCAAAGAGTCAATGTGTTGACCAAAAGTCAACTGTTGACCAAAAGTCAACTGTTGACCAAAAAGTCAACCAGTTGACTAAAAGTTAACTTTATGGAAAAAATACTGGAATTCATTTCTTAAGCACATAGCATTCTGATTTTACCGATACATATAACCGTTTATGTGTATTCTGTGAAAATCATATATGCGTATCAATCATACACATTACTCTATAAATTTATATTTTATAGGATTTAAGTACGTGCTTGGTGTGACTCTAGGGCCCAACTTTAAGACTCGGCAGTGGATCATATCCACAAGTACAACAGATGTGCTAGCTACACATAAAGAATACCCGGGTATTAGTTGTGATAAATGTTTGCAAGATGCTTACTTAATTTTATCAGGACTACTCAGTGATAATGTCGTACAGTCTGGTCTCTTCATCAAACCATGTCAAACTATTGAGCCTAGGGTATGAAAAATTGTTAAACCCTAATTGCTCAATTAGTGTTTGTTGATATTAAACTCATAACCTATAAGATCAAACTGACACTCAGTTTATCTTATTTAGCTCGGCCAAGGATTTCTAGGTAACAGTTATATCAAACAATCTTATGACATCAACTGGGAGAGACGAATCATATATTGGCATCTTAATATCTACTTATGTCGTAGGATGTACCCAACAAGAACCGTTATGCACAACCCGATGAGAACTGTGGTTAGATAAAAGTCTAAGTACACCTATACTGACATGTAAGATATTACACTCATGCCTCAGGTCATGAGACTACTATGTACTATATCACTTGAGAAATTATATTTGACAGTTAAGTATAATTACCAACTAGATGTTCTCGATGAGTCGTTCAGTCAACTCATTTAGTAATGAGTTACCTGTATACTGTATCTTGATGTCTTACATCAATGATCTAAGAGATGGATCATCGTCCTTCCAAAGGAGAAATAGAGTCTACACTAGTCTTACCAAAGTGATGATGTCCTATTTTAACACTTCATCGACTAGGAACATTTTAGAATATACGTTAGCAACAAATCAGATCTCTTCATTACGATCATTTCATCGACTAGGAACATTTTAGAATATACGTTAGCAACAAATCAGATCTCTTCATTACGATCATATCCAAAATGTCTGATAGTCTAGTATCATTCTAAAGTTAGCAACAAATCAGATCTCTTCATTACGATCATATCCAAAATGTCTGATAGTCTAGTATCATTCTAAAAACTTTATCTGTATTTAAAAATATCAGATAAATCTGACCAAAATAGCATGCTATTATTTTGAACAAGAATGTTATATTCATATAGGTCCTGTTACAATATACAATTATTGCCTGCAAGGCACCTATATCTAACAAACTCCCACTTGCACTAAGGCCAATCATTGTAGTATCTAATACCCAATAGCTCAACAAGTATTTCAAAATGTATGCGAGCAATTACCTTTGTGAATGGATCTGCTATATTATCTTTTGAGTCTACTCTTTCAATCTTGATCTCTTAGAGATCCACTATCTCCCTGATCAAGTGATACTTCCTTAGAATATGTCTAGACTTATTGTGAGACCGTGGTTCCTTGAGAGCTATCGCAGCATTACAATCGCAGTATACAAGTACCGGATCTATAATGGTGGGAAATAATTTCCAGCTCTAAAAGGAACTTCCTCATCCAGACAGCTTCTTTGGCTACATCATTTGCCGTAATGTATTTGGCTCACTATGTCCTGCTTAGAACTTTTCCAGCTAACATTCCTGTTATGAGGATTAAAAACATATCCTGATATAGATTTACTATCAATACCACTCTGAAAGCTTGAGTAGGAAAAAGCCACCACTCTGGAGTTAACTTTTACCATATATCAAAAATAACACTTTAGTCATACTAAAGCATATTCTTGATCGCCTTCCAGTGCTCTTCTCCATGATTTGATTGGCATCTACATACCAAAGTGAGTGTACAAGCGATATCCAATCTAATACATAACATGACATTCATGATCGATCCTACTGCCAAGGCACAAGGAATAAGACTCATGAGTTTCCTCTCTTCATCAGTCTGGGAAGACTCTTTTTAGAGAGGGAAATTCCATGAGAAACATTTTCTTAGAATTCTCCATGCTAAACTGCTTTAGCACTATGTCGATGTATCTAGATTGGGATAATCCTAACATCCTTTTAGATCTATCTCTATAGATCTGAATACCCAGTATACAGGATGCTACACCCATATCAATCATGAAAAAACTTTTGATAGCATTATTTTAACCACTTGTAATGACGGTATGTCATTATAAATTAAGTATATCGTCTTCATACTAAATAAGAAACGATACAATGCTCTTAATTATCCTTTTATACACACATGGTTCATCTGGATTTTTGATGAAATCAAACTCTTTGATAGCATCATCAGAACAGATGTTCCATCTCTGCGATGTTTGCTTTAGTCCATAAATAGCTTTAAGCAATCTACATGCTTTTCCACTACTCCCACTGACTATGAAATCCCTCTGGTGGAGTCATATATATGCACTCTTCTGAATCACCATTTAGAAATGCAGTTTTGACGTCCATTTTCTAGATCTCGTAGTCATAGTGAGCAGCTATAGCAAGTAGGATTCGAATAGATTTTAGCATAGCTACTGGAGAAAAGGTTTCATCGTAGTCCAAACCAGGTCTTTGACAAAAACCTTTAGCTACCAGTCTAGCTTTAAAAGTCTATACTTTCCTATCTACACCCAACTTTTTCTTAAACAACCATTTGCAACCTATGGGTATCACCCCTTTAGGAGCATTGTCTAAGATCCATACTTTGTTGGTGTACATAGAGTCTATTTTGGTTTCATTGCATCATGGCAAGCAACAGAGTCCCTACTCTAAGATGCTTGCTGATAACTCAAAGGTTCGTCATCATTTATGACGTGATCTAACATGCTACCTTCAACGAGAAAATCATATTGTCTCTTAGGTGCATGAGATCGCCTTGGATATCTACGGAATGGTTGAGGTTCTTCTGTACAACTGAATTTTCTAGTTCTAGTAAACTATTAATATTAATTTGTATCTCTGAAATTTCTTCCAGTCCTATCACACTCCCACTAATTTCTTTTCAAGAAATTCCTTTTGTAAGAAGGTGGCATGCCTAGGATATCATACAAATTTTCATAATACTGAGCATGCCTTTAACCTTTTTGGGATCTTGCTTCACAAGCATAACATCCCCAAATCTTAATATATAAGATGTGGTTTTATCCTACTCCATATCTCATATGGAGTTTTAGGCACTAAATTAGTAGGAACCCTATTCAGTAAGTATGCCACTGTTTCCAACGCATATGCCCAGAAGAAAAAAAAATATATGTGTTTACTCATCATGGAATGTACCATATCTAATATGATATAATTCCTAGAGTTACCTGAGAGAGAATCATATTCTCTTTTAAAGAACCCTAAGAATTCCGAGCTTAAGTTTTCATATCCTCAATCAAATCAAAGAATTTTAACTTTCTTGCTCTAGTCGTCTCTTGCCATCGTAGACATAGGACCACATACATTACTATGTATTAGTCCTAAGAGTTCTGCAACCCTTGCTCCATTTCCCATAAACAACTCGGACGTATAGGCAGAATTTTTTTCAAAAGAATCATGCCAGATATCATAGTTATGTATCCCAAATAGTAGATCTAAAGGAAATTGAAAAGGATAGCAAAGATATAGTTCATCCAATATTTTTGAGGGAAATGGTTAGTACAATTTTAGAAAAGAAATACTTATATAGAAAAAAACTTAAACATCCGTAAAATCATATATATTATTAGATGGATGTACATCGGATAGAAATTATGTTGACAGCAAGACAAGAATTCATCTTGAAATGGATCCACATTTCTATGATCAAGTAATTCACAGAATTTAGCATCATGCATTAGTGACGAATTCAAATTCAACATATGCCCAACCCAAATAGTTAAAGCAAGAACAGAACAAACAACACACATGAAGCAAAGAACGACGACAGCGGCACATTTCCTACCAATAACACATCTAGCTTTATATCTAATTCTCTAGTGATAACCATCTCATACATATTTTACTACAAACCTGAAGCTTCCGGATTCCTTGTAGTGCACTTTTGTATGCCAAGAGAGAATACCCAGATCCAACACCCAAATTCCTCAAAACAGTGGAATAAGTCAAATCCCTCTGTCAATGATTACACATGCAATAAGTATAGTATCACTTTACCAGAATGAGACACTAAGACGTGTTTTTTGAACTGTGATATAGCACTGAACTTCACATTAGGTACTCCTCAAGAACCATGAATAAAGATGGAAAAGTAAATGATACACACCTGCATACGAGAGATGGGTAAATGATACACGTCCTAATATTTTAGGGGTATAGTGGTCAAGCATAAGAAAGTTACCTGCTTAAAATAACCTAACGAAATATAGCTCCATATGTCCTGATCAAAATCAGTCTGGATGTTATTAAACTGAACAACTACATTGAAAAGCTTTGCGATATAGTCAAGCGGTTCAATCTGTATACGGAGCAAGCAATAGGCTCTGATAGAGAGTATGCATGCAAGTCAAGTGCCATTCCTTTCATAGGCCATATTGACGTAACCTTTTAGACAACACAAACTTAACAAAATTATTAGCTGGTGATGCAATTCCATTATTATTTATGCACTAACTGGTTGGTGTAGAATAGGCTAATTGATAAAGGTACTGTAATTACAAGATAGATGGACAACCTGCAAGTGTATCTACTTATTATCAAGCATGCACATGATATTATCTACTTACTATATGAGTCACCTTTTGTAAGCTCTTGAAATGTGAAATGGCAAAAAAAAACCTACATTTCAGTCACTTGAGTCGATTGCAAAACTCATATTAAAGAAAATCCTGAGGCTCTATTAGTTATACACTTTTACAGTTTGTATTGCAAAACTCATATTAAAGAAAATCCTGAGGCTCTATTAGTTATACACTTTTACAGTTTGTATAGTTACCTAAATCTTCACGAGGACTGTTTACGGCTCTATTAGTTATACACTTTTACAGTTTGTATAGTTACCTAAATCTTCACGAGGACTGTTTACTAGTTAACTAGTTCAAGAGGAGAACAATGAATACAAGCAGCAGTGTTAAAAAAGTACAGGTAAATAAAGTACTCCTCCCATTAATGAAACCTATCCAAGTCATCCAAAAAGTAAAAACCATATCAAAATCATCTATGCACTACTTAATTATGCAAAAAATATCCATCAAGCTGAAATGAATCAGATAGGTAAAACTTTGCAAAGAGAAAAGTAGTAGAAGTAAATAAACATGCTTGTGTCACGTAAGGGTTGAAACCTAACCCCAAAGAGGTCATGAACTCAGCTGCAATAGTTGGCCAATCAATATCAGGATATGCAACTTTATGTGCATTGTAGTTTCCAACAACTCCAGCACACTTGCCCAATATTTGCACTTCTGTAAAGGTCTTCCCTACTCACTTAGTCTGAAAGCAAAATTTGCCATCTAAGTTCCCAAAGTAGTGGGTGAAGCAGGCTACAAAGGGGGTTAGAAGATATCAGAACTAAACCACATAAACCTATTACAAAAGCAAATCATTTATTCCTATAGCATAACGATAAAAATTATCAATATGATATTTTAGCTGCTTTAAGCAGTCAACTTAGTATATGTCCGCTTCTAATATTGGCCACGTCATGCCCCGGCCTGACGGGCCCATTGGTACAGTACAAGCCGTGGGACCCAACAAGTGTAACATGTTGTTTGGCTCAATCTACTACCAAAATCGACTAACTGATGTTACACTTAAATAATTTAAGCCACTTAAATTCTCAAACATTTCCTGATGTTGGACTAAATAGGAGTGTCACAAACACCCCACCTTACATAAGCGACGTCCTCATCGTGACATGACAATTGGCACATCCCGGTATCACTAGGTTATGTGGACTCTAAAGGTGGCTCCCACCGCACTCACGTAATATAGCACTTAGCCCCGCATAGCACTTAGCTCCACACTTAGCTCCACACGTTTGGCTCAACCCACTGCCAAAATCAACTAGCCATGTTACACTTGAGCCTTAGGCATACCTATTTAAGCAACTTAACTTCTCACTCATTTTCTGATGTAGGACTAAATAAGAAATACAGACATGATTATATTATTTTTAACCTTCAGATTGAAAAGGTTCCAATCAATTTATTTCATAGCATCAAGCTAAAAACTCATGAAGAAAGAAATGTAGAACATGTCCTGCAAACATATATGAATGAAGATAGACAGTATAATCTTTATCAAACCAGTAATTATACATGATGTATTAGCCCCATGTAGAAAATTCCTGAGTTTTAGCATGTAATCATTATTTAATTATTTCTATATATGCCCCCCTCCAAAAAAAAGCTTACTTTTGTATAAAAAAATTTCACCGAAATGACCAGCCAGAAATCTTTGAGTTATTTCAACCGAAATGCCATATATAGCTGTCTTTGATACCTTCATGTAATTTATCACCTATTCTTTATTTTTCCTTTTCCCCTAACTTATCTCAACATCTAAATGTTTTGATGGTGACTGAGATGATGATGTGATGAATTATGCTTGGCTAATATTGCATAATGAGTCTTACTGATGTAGTTTTACATTCGTGTGCTCTTTTTCCTAAATCTCTTTTTGAATCTCAGCATTTGGTTTTTGTTCGTTGGTGAAGCTGTATATTAGGAATTTTATGCCTGTAGTTTGGGTCAGAATTTCTCTTTCAGGCTTGTGTTGAGTTTAACAAGGGAGAAAGCCAAGAGCAGTATAAAGCTATAGACTCATATAAAAACTCTTTGAAGTTATTTAAGGTTTGTTTCTTTTCTCATGTTCTGACTTTATTTCTCTTTTTAAATTTCAAAATAATATCAAGAATTTAACTTCAATTTGTAAGTAGACCACTCTGTTCACTTGTTTTAAAAACTTTTAGTAGAGGGCATTGCAAGTGCATCCTAATTGTCCTGGAGCTGTGAGACTTGGTATAGCTCTATGTCGCTACAGACTAGGTCAGTCAGAGAAAGCTCGACAGGCCTTTCACTGAGTCCTACAGGCAAGTTCATTATGTGGTCCCATATGCATATGTTTATTTTGACATACCTTTATGTGTTTCTGATTTCCCCCCCTATGATTTACGTTGTGTAGTTAGATCCAGAAAGTGTTGAGGCTCTAGTAGCTCTCGGAATCATGGATTTGCAAACAAATGAAGGTAACATGAATGTGCAATGTTAAATTAATGAGTGAATGATATCATATATCTTATGTTGGAGTGCATCTTCTCTCTTGGTTTTGGTTCTTCTGAGGAGTTCGGCTCAACATATCTTGATCACCTTCGCATCGTTTTTTTTGTAGCTTATGGAATTCGCAATGGAATGGAGAAAATGCAAAGGGCTTTTGAAATATACCCTTATTGTTCAATGGCGTTAAATCATTTAGCAACACTTTTTCTTTACTGGACAGCATTTTTGGTTGAACAGTTAACGGTGACTGCTCTAGGTACAAGCAACCATGGCTTGACAAAATCATATTCATACTACAGGGTGAAAAACATTGAATGTTGAATATTGATTATGCATCTTCAGGTGTGATATTTTATTATTTTCATTTTACTATTGATCGCCTTTACCATATCTATTACAAGTGTAGGGTGATTTCGAGAAAGCTGGCCGTTACTACATGGCGTCTGTCAAAGAAATTAATAGGCCACAAGACTTTGTGTTGCTATTTTATGGTATGTGTTCTTAAGCCTATCCTCTGCTTCATCATGCTTTCATGATTTTGAGAAAGCTCTGTTATGCTTGTTACCCTTACTGCAGTGCGGTTACATGATAATGAGGTTAAAGCTCTGCAGATTTGTGTTTTAGGGCAATCATCGAAATAGCTGGCACATCCTTGGAAACTACTTGCATTAAGCCTGCACATTTAGAAGAACATGAATTATGCTGCTGATTTACCTCTTACAGAAATCATTTAACATCTGTAGGAATATCTCTGAGAATTTGTCAATTGCACACCACTATATTTCTAGCGAGCATACTGTGTGTGCATAATATCTCTGTAGTTCATGTATTTCACAGATAGCAGATGCCTTGATCTGTAGAAAGGCGTAGCTTTTTATATAAATATATACAAACGATTGAAAATATGGGCTTTACACTGTAGGCGTCGAAAAATGCTTGCAGACATCCAAATACCACTCAAAACAAAATGGGAGAACAATTTACACGTCATCAGGCGACACTAGGTGGCGCGGCAGCCCATGGCGTCGCAGCTAAGGCGCGACACCACATAGTGCCGCGGCTAAGGCGCGGCAGCCTGTCGTGTCGCGGCTTAGGTGCGACAGCACATAGTGCCGCGGCTAAGGCACGACAGCCTGTTGTGTCGCGGCTTAGACGCTGCAACCTAGGGTGCCGCGGCTATGTTAAAGGAGTGTTGTGGCGGTTACAAGGCAGTTATATGGTGATTTTTTGAGGCCTACGTGGCAGCATATCAGAAATAGAAAGTGTACTGACGTGGACAAACAGTTAAACCACGAAAAAAGTGGTTAAAAGTCGTGGGAGAATGCCGCGCCAATAGCCGCGGCAGTGTAGACTGCATCGGCCAAAGAGAAAACACTCGGTCAGTTATTTTGCCCCCGTTTCAACTGTGGTACACTCCTACCCTTGTAAATACCTCCCTAAACACGAAGTAAAGGACAGAGAGCAGATTGGAGCAGAAAAGGCTTGAGCTTTCGGTGATTTTGAGGAAGAGAGAGAGAATTTTCATCTTTCGTAAACAACGTTGGGTGAATCCTAGAGATCTAAGCTCAGACTTGATCTTTGGAAGAACGAACATCTTACATTGATAAGATATTCGTTTTTAAATCTTTACTTCAATAAACGAAGGAGAGATCCCTAAACAACCTCACGATCTACGAATCGGTGGTCCACGAACTAAAGCGTTCCCGGCACAGGCAAAGTCCCACAAAAGCAGGAGTTGATAAACAATTTTTGTGTTATTTTCTCGAGAGTTGTATTTTCTTTTACTTTCATTGTAATTTCTTGTAAACAAATTGAAGTTTAATGGAATCTGCAATGGAAACAACTTTCGCTGAAAACAAACTGGCGACCACAGTGGGAGCCAGCGGCCTCGCTGCCGAGGCCGCGGTGTCGCAACCGATCAAGATCGTTGTCAATGAAGAGATCGAATACGAATTCGATCAGGCGAAGTTTGAGGAGTACTTGTCGTCCTCATCCGCGAAATCTTCCTCGTCTCGTAAATATAGGAAGATTTCGAAAACTTTCAAGTCTGCAATTCCAACGGAGGCCGCAGGCAAAGATTCTTGCCCGATCGTTGCTAAGGAATCTGCCTGTAACGTTTCTGCTCCAAGTGACTCCGTACCCATTAAGGAGTCGCTGATGAATGGCTCACCGGTGCTGACGAAGAGAGCTCGTCAGAGACAGCGCCAGCGCCGTGCTTGACAACTGGCTAAGGCCATGCAACAAACCGACGGGGTCCATTACTATGCGGACCTAGAGTCAAGGAAACAGAAAATGACTCAGTTGCCTCAACGGCAAGATAATCATATTTCTGCACAACTCACGACGGAGGAGTGGACTCTCGTCAAAAGGGCCCGTTCAACTCTTAAGGAACGGATACAAAAACGTCAGGCGAAGGCTGCCCGTGCTCGCGCTCTTCGTCAGCAAGCGCAAGGAACCAAGAAGGAGACGGTGTCTGAGAAGCCACCGAAGAACCGTAGAGTTTGGATGCCAAAGATGCCGCAAGCATCTGTTCCGGGCCCATCTACTGCGTCGTCGGTGAAACCCTGGGTTAGCCCAGATTTGTCCAAGTTTAAGATAACAATGGCGGATCGCCTCGGACCTTCGGTTAATGATCGAGGCAAAGCCCCAATCAAAGAACAATCAGATACTGTAAATAAACCCATAGTGGTTTCATACACAGGGGGTCGTAAACACCCTCCTGTCAGAACTACACCAGTCCGAAATGAGAGAATACTAGTTCACTCTCGTTTAGGACCTCTGAAAATTCCATACCCGCAAGGGGGTGGATTTAGAAATTCAACTTTGGATCGTCCAGAGGCGACGACCAGTCGTCCTGTGCATGTTAATAAAGTTCAAAGGGAAATGATAGGTTGCTCAAATCATAATAACGATGAGCTGTACTATCAGAAGAATGACTCAAGAAAAAGGAGTGCCCAAGAAAACGAGTCTCATTGCGCTTGCGAGAGACTCATTAAAGCAGTGTTGACAGAATGCGGATGCTCTAAGAATGATTCAACAAGAGTCTCCGTGTTTCAAAGATTGTCCAATGAAGCGTCAAGACCCAAAATGAGACGTTTCAACAAGAAAAAACCTGTAAACCGACGAGATGAATTCCCTGAGGTCACTATCAACATGACCAACAAAGGAAAGAAACAGTTAGTTAACCCCGACCCTGATTTCTCTCCGGGAGGGAGAGTTGAGCGGGGTCTTTCTCAAAGGATGTCACGGCTACAAAGAAGAGCCAACCTACGTCGAGATTACAAGAAAATGCACGAGGGGCTATCTTCAGATGAAGAAATATCAGATACTTGTTCTGCCATTGCATCGGATGATACCGCGTCCAGTGTTGGGCAGGTCACAGAATCATTCGCAATCACGCCGGATCAACTGGCTCACATGCTACAGGAAGCGTTGGCTAAACAACGTGAAGAAATCAGAGCTGAATTCAAGACCAAGATGGAGTTGACTATGTAGCAAATGCGAGATTTGCAGGTTCAGCAACACCAACCGGAGTCAAGCCAAAAAGCGAAATCCAGCCGGCGTAATGAAGAGGATGAGACTATCTTTGACGTTCCTCCTCCAGATAAAGACAACTCCGGAAGCGGTCCGACCAAATCATCTACTCAACCTCCACAGATCTACTTGAAGAAAAGCGAGGAAGAGGATAAAAAGATGCATGATCTCGAGAGCAAAGTCAACACTCTAATGACGGCTCAAGAAGTGAAGAAAACGGGCATTCCATACCCGTAACCGAGGGAGTGGGACCTGATTCCTTATCCCCAGAAATTTAATTTGATTAACTTTACTCCTTTTGATGGCAGGGGTTCACCAACTCAGTACTTGATCTATTTCAAGTCGCATCTCGGCGCAATATCCGAGAACGAAGCCCTGATGGTCCGGTTATTCGTAGGAACCCTTCGCGGGCCTGCCTTCGATTGGTACCGATGCCTTAAGCCCGGGAGTATCACTAGCTGGGAGGATATGGAAGAATTATTCCTCACCAATTTCTTTGACGATGACACAGAGGTCTCAATTGGCACGTTGTTGGATGAGAAGCAGAAGGATGGGGAATCGGTCGATGTCTTTGTCAAACGATTCCGGGACAAAGCGGTGAACTACAGAGATCCACTCACAGAGGAATTTATTCTGCAAACGTGTCATAATAACCTGTCTTTGGATGTATTAGAGGTAATGGGGGTTGTTCCCTCT